CTCTAATCTATCATTTCTTAGACCAAAAGAAAGGTCTATTTCTATTTCCCCTTTGAAGTGCATCGATACATTCTACAGTGCATCGATGCATTCTTTAACATGTGCATCGATGCACTACCCATGCATCGATACACCAATCACCTTCGATGTTTTCATTTTAAGGGGGTGCATCAGTGCACTCCTTATGCATCGATGCACTAATTACATTCGATGTTTCTTCTTTAAAGAGTGCATCGATACACATTGAATGTGAATCGATACACCTTGCTCAGAATTTGCATTTTAAGCCTAAAAACCATCAACTTTTCACTCAATTCTTCTATTTTAAGCCCATATCATGTCATTAAACTCAACTACCATTACTTAAACCAACTTATATCCATATAAACCATATTTATCTTCTATATCTCATCATGATTCTTAAAATTTAAGAATCTTACTAAACTGTCAACTTTTTTATTAATCCTTTCTAACTTCATAAATCTCTTATTCTTATTGATGGCAAGTCAAATTCAACTTTCAATTCTTATTATAAACTCTATTTCAATATTTCACTCAAGAACTCCAAATCTTTAATCTTCTCTAACTCCTTTATCTTTTGATTTTAAGATAACTTAAGCTTTCCTTAAGCTTAGTTATCATCTAATGATCATAACCCAACCTTAAATTTAACCAGAAATTATCTAAATAGAAGACTCACCATTTTGTTCAAGCCTTCATATGAAGAAGGAAGAAGAGAAGAGAAGAGAACTCTGTAACATTTTCTCTCTTCCCACGTGGTTTCCTTATCTTATAAGGGAAAATAAAAATCTTCCTTGTCAAATGACCATCTTACCCTTTACTTCATTTAATAACTATCAACAATCCCTCAAAAATATTTATAAATAAGTCCCTGCATTTACAATCTTTTGAAATCATACTTCAAAGTTACAAAAATTACATTTTAATCACTCACCCTGATTTTGGGATATTACAGGCTAATAAAGAAATAAGAATTATATGTGATTTATATGCTTTGTGCTATGAAACATGTTACAAGAATTATATGATGCTATGTATGCTTCTTTGTGAAATGATATGTGTGTTATATGGTACATAAATAATAAGTACAGGATCACATGTTAAAAAGGATTAATGATAATAATATATGATAATGATAAGAATGTGGTTGATGATAAATGTGCAGGTGGATAATTATGCCATAACAAAATATAAGTTGTTGTGTATGAATATATTTGATTATATGAAATATTGTATGATTTGGTGTGATATCATTTATGAAATGTTCATGCATTGTTAGAAGTTAGAGTTTACATTATAATTTTTCATGCCTCACTAAGTCGTAGACTTAGCGTGTGAATGTTTCACACGTAGGTTTCGGGAAGCAAGAAGAGAAGCTAAGAGGAGCAAGACAGGTCCAGCCTCTCCTTTATGAAATTCAGATCAGAAAAGAATTTTGATTCATATGTATGTTGTTATATTAAATGTAGTTGGCATGTATTAATAGATTTGAGCTGAATATGTTCTGATATGTTTTGTAAAACCAATTGATTTTAATTAATGTAAAGTATTCATTTTCTTAAATTGTGAATTTAAATTTCTGCCATTTATAATAAAAACGTTTTGAAAAGTCAATGTGACACCTCGGACTCAGATCCAGGTTGGGGGGTTTTACAGACTATAGTTCTTACAGAATTAGAACTCTAGTTTCCTGCTGGGAAGAACAGAACCGTGGGGAACCCTACTTTCTGCAAAAAATAAACTTCTTACTACCATGTCTCATTCCAGGCTTATAATACTGAAAATAGCATTTGAATCTTATCCTTTTTCATTAAGCATGTTATTTATTTAAATTTTACCCTTGCCCTAGGATGTTCATTTGTTGTCCCATCCATTTTGGCAATAACCAGAGAGTCAATTCCTCTAAGATGTTTAGCAAGCTGGTTATACATTGGCTCCAATGATCGGCAATGGCCACACCAAGGAGCATAGATCTGGTATTTATAGCATTCATCAATAGAATAAACTTATGTCAAGAAAGATATAAAATAACCTGTATTTTCATATTGGATGACAACAATACCTCAAGAAGGACATCCTTGGACTCCTCTAAAATAATTTCATCGAAGCTATTGGCAACCAATCGTTTCACATCTTCTTCATTCTTTGACAAATAGAATTTTGGGGAAGTTAGATCGCTATCAACTTCGACAAAGTCAATCATACTAAAAAGAATATGCTTACAGTTTCGGGAATTGAGTCTGACTTATAATAAGGTTTAAGCATGTCTTCTAGAGAATCCTCTGCAAAAGCATACAGAAAGGTTTGAACACAAAAGTGTACTCAAACCATTAACTTTTACAAGTTTATTGAAAGACATAAGCAATATCAACCGACCAAATAAAAGCAGTGAAAGAGAGAGAGAGCACCTTAATGTTGTCCAAAATCACATCTCCATCCATGGAAACTTCCTAGCATCAATTCCAGAGTATGCAAGGATCTACGTGATAAATGAAAAATGTGATCATCAAATATGCACATAGAGTATACAACAAATCTCCTCCCAACCACCCCACGTCTTCCATCCAAAGAAAACAAAACAAATTGGGGAAGATCAAAAAGGATAAGAGAGACTGACTCTGGGATCATCTCCACTGACGTCAAAAAAATCTGCAACAGGTCTTCCAGTATCTTCACTATCCACTTGTACGAAAATAGAAATAAGCTACAAGAAAGTTAACAACATAATACTTGGTAGCTACTCTTGAAGTCTTCATTGAAGGGGATATTATCATCAGTTTACTAGATACCAGAGTTCTTTTAGACAATTTGGACTTATATACCTTTCCGTTGAAAAGTTTTGTCGCTTCTTGGAATACCGGGATAAACTTCTCAGAAATGTTTAATGTGGCAAACAACAACAGCTTACAACAAAAAGATTATCAAGTATAAAAAAAGATTAGCCATAAATTCAAGGAATGTGTTATTCAAAAATTCATAATTATGAGGAAAAGCAAAATTATATAACATGCATACGTGATTCTTAATTGAGCTTTCAAAAATTGAAGGAGCGTTGTCCCTGTTAAATGTCGTAACAAAAGGAAGCTTGTTGGAAGTTACAAACTCATATATTTCCGTCTTAACAAACTGACCATCTACAACAATAAGATTTTTGCATATGCAAGTTCCTCAAAGCAAGATTCCAATCAATGTTACACACGTCAAGAAATTAACCAAAGTGGCATGTTTTTTTAGCCACCCTTTTAACCAAGACCAAAGCTGGGCGTTTAACTTGAGGGTCAAAGTGGAAAAGTTTTGCGATATCATGATTCACAGTCTGATAGACGCTGACATCATCTAATAGTTTTGAAGCAACAGCAAGCTCGTCACTCTCGGGACCCTGTTGTAATAATCATTTATATGAATAATTTGTATGAATATTGATACGCTTATTATTAAGTAGTTGGGAATTTTTTTAAATATATTACCTTATAATTATCCTAGACAAGTATTATTGATATAATATGTAAGAGGATATGAGATTTATTATATTCAATATCATTCGAATTATAAGTAGAGAAAAATTTAAATACTGGTGTATTATTTTAAATTAATCAAAAAATAAAGTTAAGTTAAAAAATAGGATCAAAGTGATAAAAATTTTATATGTGAAAATTTAATTTATTAAATTATTTTAAATAAATATTTAATTGATAAAACATATAAATTTTAAAAACAAAGATTATTGTTATACAGTATACTAGATCACATTACATGTATGTTTCAATTTTAATAATCAAATATTTTATTTATAATAATATTTTAATTAAATTATTAAATTAAATAACTTCGAAAGAAATTTTTACATGTCTGACTTAGATTTGATACCCCTAAACCTTTACATTCTCTAATTTAGTAAATTAAAATTTGAATCTAATTAATAAAATGTGTAATTATATTAATTTTTTAACAGTTGTGTTTGTTATTTTGTACAATATTAAGAATAGATTATCTTTTTAATATTATTTAAATAATTAAGTGATTAATTGATAAAATAGTTAATGTAAAAATAAGTGTCTAAATTATATCTAAAATTAATTTTATGTGTATAAAGGTGTCTAACATTTCTAATGTTATAGTTGTAAGTGTTTTTGTTGTAACAGTCTTTAAAAAACCATTAAAATAACTTGCGAGAGTCATGCTTGTTCTCTATCACTCAACAAGGAAGTGGGAAAGCCAAACCTTAAATACCATTCCCAATAGTGTTTCCAATACTATGTGGGATTGAGCATTATCAACACTTGTTTCCAATACAATGTGATTATTCAGGAAACAATTAACAATCATGCACCTTAAAACAACTGAATCAGAAACCAATTGCATTAGTATTATACGATTAAATATATCATAATTAAAAGTCAATCTACAATCAATCGCGATTATTACAATTTTAAGCAAAACATTCAAAAATAATATCACTATTTAAGGCTCAATCCCATATAGTATTGGGAACAAGTGTTGGTAATGCTCAATCCCACATAGTATTGGAAACACTATTGGGAATGGTATTTAAGGCTTGGCTTTCCCACTTCCTTGTTGAGTGATAGAGAACAAGGGAGATTTCCGCGCGCCGCCGCCGCCGCCGTCCGTCTCGGGTCGGGTCGTGGTAATACGTCCGCGCGAATACTATCTTTTTAGAGAAAATTCTTAAGAAATAAATACAATACCGTCGTTGCGATTTTGGTCTATCACAACGAACTTGGAATAAATCGCAACGCGAACTTGGACTATCGCAATGCGATAGTCAAAGTTCGCGTTGCGAATTATCGATCGCATTACGATTTAGTTGGTCATTTTGGCAAATCCAAAAATATTTGATTAAAATCATATATTATAAGGCATTTTTGGTCACTGATGTTATCTTCTCAAAATATTAATGGCTAGATTAAAATCTTCCAAACTAAACGTTAATGGTATAGTTTACCTTGAAATTACAAGTTAAAACAGTATACAACCCGCTGCCAAACCTTTCAGTTTCACTTCATTTTCTTCCCCACTTTGCATTTTCCCTTCCCTCTCCTTTCACTTTGGGTAAATTTTGCTTACTTTTTGTTATTCAATTTTTGTGGAACTGGTTTGCTTTATTTTCAATTAGATTTCAGATTTCTAATTGAATTTCCTTAATTTCAGTTTTGTTTAGCTTGCAAAATACCTTTTTAGTTTTCATTGAATATTGACTGATTTGTATATTTATCTCGGTATTGTTGTTGTATCGTATCCATTTTATCATTTTCTTCCTTTTTTACATTTTGTTGTTTTCCTTTTCTTTATATATATCTTATTTTTGTTTACGTCTTAGGCGTTTTCGTAGATCTTGATTATAGTTGATTTTACTCTTTTATGTTTTGTCCTGTTGCCCTTGTTTGACCTTTCACAAATTAAAACCCTAAACTGATTTAAGATTGGGTTTTCCTTTTGGTGATAATGTTGCTGTTTCCGCCCCCCCCCCCGGTAGATTTATGATGGATTAATCTGGAAGAATTATAGGGGAATGAGTAGTAGTACTAGGGAAAGTTTTGGTAGATTTATGTTTCTCTTTTGTTTTTTGTTTCTTTGGTTCATTATACTTAAATTCTAGTAAACAGAGGAACTGGAATTAACTGAAAGTTGAGAAGCAGTAGATTGAACGAAGTAAACGAAGAGGAAAAGATGCATTCTTTTGGCTACAGATTAAATGGACTGCTAACATTTTCCTTGACAATTCTGACCATAATGTGTGCCATCGCATCTCTCTCGGACAACCTCAATACTCCTTCTCCTTCTGCAGAAATCCAGGTCTATCTTTACTCACACTCACGTAGTCTACTAGGTGTTTATATCAATGATTTTTTCTCTTTCTCGTAACCCTTTTTCTTGTTTTTATCTCTGATTTCTTGTTTGTTGGGTATGACTGTAGATTATAAACATAAATAGGTTCCAGAAGCAGCCGCAGGGGAATGATGAGGTAGTATTGTTTTGTTTCCACTACTTTATGTTTCATCTGTAATGTTGTTTCTTGTCACCTACTAAATTGTGTTTCACATTGTCCTTGCTTGCTAATGGATATCATTTTCTTCTTCCACCTCCCCCTTCTTTTAATCTATTCACTTGGTTAATGTTCTCTTATTTTTCTGCTGTAGTTCTTAGGAAATGCTTTTGACTTGTGTAGGTGAGCCTGACTATGAATATATCGGCTGATTTGCAATCATTGTTTACATGGAACACAAAACAGGTTTGCTTCTTCAGTGATATTTATGTTTTACATTTGTAGAACTTCATTTCATTTGCTTCTTCAGTGATATCAGTGCATGAGATAATCCGTTTCACAATGGACTTTGAGAAGAATTTCATTTTGATATATTCGAATGATTTCAATTTTATGTGATGGCAATATTTGTAGGCCTCCCTTTTTCTGTCAGTTCTTTTCTCACAATTATTCATGGTCTCGATGTTGATTTTAACTACCATGTTGATCCACAGCTTTTCATATTTGTGGCAGCTGAGTATGAAACCCCAAAGAATTCCTTGAATCAGGTGAGGCATTCTGATTGCCTCTTTTTAGGCTGGAGCTATTTATTTCACTTCCTTACTTGAAAATATGTTAGCTCCTTGAATATTTTTCACATATATTTTATAGGTGTCACTCTGGGATGCTATAATAATTGCCAAAGAGCATGCGAAGTTTTGGATTCACACCTCAAACAAGTATCGTTTTGTTGATCAGGTATGCACATTATGGGATTGACATTGCATATAATAGGGCTTTCCGGCTATTGAGAATTTCTTTTCTCTTTTCTTTAATCTTTCCTTGTACAGGGAAACAATCTCCGTGGCAAAGAATTCAACTTGACATTGCATTGGCATGTCATGCCTAAGACCGGAAAGATGTTCGCCGACAAAATCGTCCTGACCGGCTATAGTTTTCCAGAGGAATATAGATAATGTTTTCTTGGCCTATGTTTTGAGGTTACTCTAAAAGCAGTGCCAGTATGTTTGAGGACATTAAACCTCATTTGAACTAGAAAGTTCGAAGCGTTGATACCAATACGTCATGTTTGAGGAAATGGGTTTTTCGCAACCTTTTTTAAACACCTTTATGCTTTTGGTTTGATATTTATTTTAAATTCAAAGCCCTGAATCAAAATAACCTTTAGGTGCGTTTGGTTCACGGAATGTAAAATTACCAATGATAATATAAGATTATCAGAGAATAAGATTACTGAGAATGTTGTATTTTATGTTTGGTTAGCTTAGCGGGAATGTAAGATTATTGTATTTGGTTAAATGAATAAAATATTATTAGAATGTATATTTGACCAAATTGTACTTATTATATATTTGTTTTTTTAACAAGTTAGAAAATATTTATATATATATTTTTAAAAATTTAAATTCATAAAATTTATATAATTTTTTTTACAAAATTAAAAATATAAAAAGGTTTAATGGAAGGGTAAAATTTTATTTTAACTTTTGAACTTTATATAAAATTTTAATTATAGGTTTTTTTTTGTAAATCTAAAATAGTTTAAGGATAAATTTGTAATTTAACTTTCGTAGAATGTTTATTATTCAATAACAGAAGAATGATATTTTTGAAAGAAAAAAAATTAAGGGTATTTTATTCCAAAACGTCGGTAATCCAACAATACCTAAAGAAAGTGATGTAGTGAAATTCCCGGTAATATATCCCAAAAAATCTACTATTGATAATCTTACATTACTGGGAATGAGATTCTCATGCTAACAAAACGGGAAAATGTGGATTCTATTAGGGGTTTATTGGTTTAAGGAATGTGAGATTCTCATGAGAATGAAATTCACATTCTCATGTTTGGTTGGCCGTGAATCACATTCCCGGTAATATTTTATTACCAATAGTAGATTTTTTTGAGTATATTACCGGGAATGTCATTACCTCCTTTTTCTTATGTATTGTTGAATTATCGGTGTTTTGGACTAAAATGCCTTTAAATTTTTTTCTTCTTCAAAAATATTATTCTTCTATCATTGAATAATAAAAATTATACGAATGTTAAATTACAAATTTATCCTTAAACTATTTTAGATTTACAAAAAAATCTATAATTAAAATTTTATATGAAGTTTAGGGGTTAAAATAAAATTTTATCCTTTCATTAAACCTTTTTATATTTTCAATTTTGTAAATATATATATATATATATATATATATATATATATATATATATAAATTTTATGAATTTAATTTTTTTTAAAGAAAATATATAAATATTTTTCAACTTGTTAAAAAACAAATATATAATAAGGACAATTTGATCAAATATACATTCCAATAATCTTTTTTTCCTTTAAACAAACTCGGTAATCGTACATTCCTGCTAAACCAACCAAACACAACATTCTCAGTAATTCTATTCTATGGTAATCTTACATTCCCACTGGTAATCTTACATTTCGTGAACCAAACGCACCCTTAGGGGGCGTTTAGATTGGGGAATATGGGATTCCCATATGAATGAAATCTATATTCTTGGTTAGCCCGAGAATCTCATTCTCGGTAATGTAAGATTATTAATAGTGGATTTTTTGGGGTATATTACCGGGAATGTCATTACCTCCATTTCCTTAGATATTGTTGGATTTCCGGCGTTTTGGACTAAAATGCCCTTAATTTTTTTTCTTTCAAAAATATCATTCTTCTGTCATTGAATAATAAAAATTCTACTAATGTTAAATTACAAATTTATCCTTAAATTATTTTAGATTTACAAAAAAAAAGTGTATAATTAAAATTTTATATGAAGTTCAGGGGTTAAAATAAAATTTTACCCTTTCATTAAACCTTTTTATATTTTTAATTTTGTAAAAAAATTATATAAATTTTATGAATTTAAATTTTTTAAAGAAAATATATAAATATTTTACAACTTGTTAAATAAATAAATATATAATAAGGACAATTTGATCAAATATACATTCCAATAATCTTTTATTCATTTAACCAAACACGATAATCTTACATTCCTGCTAAGCCAACCAAGCACAAATTACAACATTCTCAGTAATCTTATTCCCTGGTAATCTTACATTCCCACTTACATTCCGTAAACCAAACGCACTCTTAAATTGAAGTAAGAAAGTTTCAATGAGTTCCAAATAGAAAATAAAATAAAATAAAATGTAAATCACTTGATTTGCTCAACTTCTTTCTCACAATTCTTTTACAAAATCAATTTGCTTATAATGAGATTGGTAAGTACAGTCAATAAATTCAATAAAAAAGAATGATAACTACAGTGGCTGGGCAGAGCTTATTTAAAGAGCTCACTCCCCAGTGTTACAGCTTCAATCTCCTCTCCTGCTTCAAATTGCAAACCACCTATTTCTGTCTCTTGAATTCGTTGAAGCTCTTCAACGATGCTTCTCATGGATGGTCTTATCGATCTAATATCCACACATTGCAATGCCAAATCCACTACTTGTTTTGCACCACGCATTGATTTGCTCCCTAAGGTTCTATCGGCAAAATCGACGACATTGTCCGAATCTTTGGCCTTCAAAACAAATTATGTTTTTATAAGAATAGAAGATTGCGTATACAACAAGTACATAGGAAAAACTGTATCAGAGAACAATAAAAACACTGCAAAACCTGCATTATTAACGTTGTTTCCGAGTTTGACAGATCTCCACAAGCTGCTTCACATCCACTAATCAACTCCAGGAGGAAGACACCATAGCTATAAATCGCTTTGCACTGAAAATTTCTTTGATGGATACAATCTTAAGAAAGAATGGATGAATTAGATACAAGTAATGAAGTCTTCACGCTATCTGATTGACTAAATAATGGGTTTTAAGAAGGATTGATTTGCATACTCTGGGTCAAGAAAGCAATCGATGGCTGAAGATGATGCATAAAACTGATCCTCAGACAACAATTTGGACAATCCATAGTCAGAAACCTTGGCTGTAAAGTTTTCGTCTAGGAGAACGTTGCTACTTCTGAAATGCATGTGCAGCAGAGGAGGAGCTAAGCTGTGAAGGTATTCAAGTCCTGATCCAAATTAAAAGGTAGGTTCAGAAAGCTAATGGCGCAAATCGCTATTTACGAGTTTTATTTCTGTAATAATTAAACTTATGATATAGATTTACATATAGAGATCGGTGAATGTACCTTTGGCTGCACCTAGAGCAATCAATAACCTTTGCCGCATGTTCAGTTTTCCAGTTGGTGAACCTTCATTATCTGGGAAAATTAGGATAAGTGAAAGAAAACTTTAATTAATTTGCATAGGGACAATGGTAATTTGAAAATATATGTAAATGAAATTATTACCATATAGGTTATTTCCAACGTTTCCATTAGGGATATAATCATAGACAAGAAACTGTCGGTAGTTATCTTCACAAAAACCAACCAGCTTGACAAGATGCTTGTGTCTCACTTGAGCTATTTGCTTTACCTGCGTTAAATCCAAACAAATCATAACTATAACTACTTCACCACAAAACTTATTCCTTAGATGCCAAGGAATTTCACTTCTAGGGTTTTCTAAACGGTTATGATTCGATGTTTTCTTGGTTCTAAGTCGTTGAAAATGGTTCCATTTATCTTCTCTGTTCTTGAATGCGAAGTTGCAGTAATGCAGACACAAAGATTCAAATCAAGTGAAAAACGAATCTTAAAATCATCCCTATCGCCCTATTCTTTCACCTATGTTGTTTCCGCAATCCTGAATGCCCGAAATTGAACGTCTTTAAGTTCTCTCTAGCATCAGTATGGAATAGATGTTTTACCTCGTGAAGGAACACATGAATTGGGGTATTTAAGTATCTTTTGATTGCCACAATCGTTCCATCTTGAAGTAACCCTTTATGGACTAAACCGAATCGACCTTCACCGATTATATTACTTTGACTGAAGTTGCGTGTAGCTTGTTCCAGCTCTGACATTGTTAGTTGCCTTAGATTTTGTGTATGGATCGGAGACGGCACACCGGCATTGTGGGAAGTGTTAACTCTTTCCAGCTCAACTGCTCAGACACAGATTGTTCTATGATGCAATTATTGTAATGTTGTCAATGTAATTATTGACTGGAATCAGAGCCTCGTAGAATTCTGCGTCAAAGTTATGAAGGCCGGCTTACCAGTAGAAGATGGCATAGAAGATGCAGCCCCAGCTGTCCTCCTCATGAATCTTTTAACACGCATCAAGCAGATATACAAAAGCACCAAAATGATCACTACAAGAAGAGCTGCACTAGTGCCGCCAATTATGGCAGCAAGCGTCTGTTTTCTCGGTTTCTTATCGCCTGTTTGCAAAGGTGTTAGTGTAGGAACACCATTTTCCACATCAACGGAAGCCGCTTCTACCTTTCCATGTCTTGATTTAAAGGACTTCTCTCGATATTGAATCGGAGCAAAAGACAACAATTCAGATAATCTACTTGGAAGGGATATCTTAGATAACAATTCAAGTGTATGTTTTAAAAGGAAGCTTACAAGGAAACAACATCGGCATTTTCGAGTCGATAGCAATTTACATATACCCATTGCCTCAAGCAGGGGAACTTCCCAAATCTACCGCTGGTTTGTTGAGGAGTGCAAACTGTGTTCTTGCAAATAAGTAAAGCTTCGTTGAATCTAAGTTTTAATATCAAAGAGAGGAATGAACCAAGGAACTCAAGAATATGAATCAAGTTACTATATCAAAGAGCTTGTAAGTGAAAATTGCTTATTCTGAAAGAAAAGAAAGAAAGCTTACTGAAGAGGTTGTGACATAAACAGTAGAGTTGGAACAGTTGAATCAGCAAAAGCAGTGGCAGCCGCTGCCACCAGAACAAAACCATTGATGTCTATCAGTTATTGTTATGGATTTACAATCATATCATTGAGAGCAGAGGTAACCCTCAAGAAAGGACCTTTCTGTAATCACTAAAAACAAATGTGTTGGGAAAAAAAGGGTAAAACTTCATCAAGAAGTAACCAAATAGATTAAGGCCGTTCACATGAATATGAACAGGCTTGCAGGAAAGGAAGGTAGAAAGCTTCAGCAAGAGTAAATTAAAACAATAACCTATCTGCATGGTGACAAGCACATATTTCTATGTTGTTTTCTAGTAATTCAAACTTAGAATATTATGAGCTGATTGAGTACTAGTAAAGCTTTCTCATCTGAGAAATTTGCATAAAAAATGTCCGACTGAATTGAACAATAATGCTTTTCTTTACTGAAAATTCCAGCTAAGCTAGTAAAAGAACAGTTTAATTGGTTGTCTTTATGGAAGTGGACAGATACAGTTATCTATGTTTATTTTTTCTTCTTAGCCTGCTAGGCAACGATGTTCATGTCTGTAAATCTCCATTTGGCATGCCAAAAAGCTTAAAAGATTCCCTGAAAGAATCTAAGAAAGTGGTTAACTGTCAGCCAAGAACAATGCTTGCCAGAGACCATCCTTAGAAATGATATAATCTCTCCAGCAAACATAATCTAACCAAAATCTTCAAATAATTTATAGGTTTAATCTGAAGAAAACAATAGCATTTGGCTAAAGGATAACCAGACAGAAACCTATATATTCAAGGCTAAGCAAGAGCAACTAAACAAAAAGCGATGAATCATAGTGACACAACATTGTGTCTCGAAACTATTTTGCAGGATACTGTTCCAAGGTGAAGTCGCCATTGACAGAATGTCTATACTCTATACCGACAACACAAAGTAGCCAGCAACACCAGAAACAAAAACAATTATAGAAGACGTACCATTAAAGCTGGTCCTGCAGACAGAGTTATCAAGTCAAGAACAAAAAAGAAACAGCTTTTATTTCTTCCCAACTTTTTACAGTTCCCAGAGGTCTTCTTTTGTAGGTAAGCAACTAGGCATTAATGAATGGAAGACTTCCAATAAGCAGCAAAGGACAGAAGCAGACCATATAATTAAATTCTCTCACACAAAATCTTCCTAAGTAGGACCTGGTGTTTCCTTTGAGGCAAAACAACAGTTATTCTTACTTTTAAAGAATCAATGGGCAACCCCATAGCATTTAAATCTCTTTTAAACACTTGAAAGATGGTGTAAAACTGGTCTTGTCTTGTTAGGGTAGAGCCGTAACTAAATTTTTGCCCTCATTCAGGGTTTTGAATGATGGGTCCTAATCAGGAGGGGGTTTGGGTACACAATTGTAATGAGCAGGCAATGAGAGTGGGACCATTTTTTTGGATTTAGCAGCTGAGACAGACAATCACGTGAGAGAAAATGTGAAAGAGGGCGCTGACAGCCGCTCACATGCAATGCAAGCACACCTTTATTGCCGTAACGTTTCTCTCACTTATGTGGGGGGGGGGGGGTCCGTTTTTCATATAAGCTCCACAACTATTATATTTCCAAATATGGACATCATCCATCGCCCATTACACATTAATACTGTTGGCAATGAGGCGGGGAAGGATCAAAATATCAGATTATAGTTGTGAAATTAAATTAACCAAAAATACAGCACAAAAACCTTCTTAATTCAAGTGTTTGGGGCTTCAAAACACAATGAACTTAAATGGACCTCAGTCCATTTGACTATGGGCTATGCATCTCATGAATTTGGACATCGGAAAAAGGTCCAAAATTTCTTCTTTTTTAGTTAAATTAAGAAAGTGCAGAAATCTTTATCAGAATCAAAATTCCGACGCCAAATTTTTCACAATGATCAGCATTCTCGCTCAGGTTCCCAATCCAAAAAAATGTAGAAGGAATCTCTGCGTAATTTTAATTATTTATTTATTTTAATTTTGTGATATTTGATGAAAATGCAGGAGCGTTTGCTTGGTGCCGCACTCGGAACCGCGTTGACAGGGATCGTAGTATTTGAGCAACGGAAACAAATCTATGAATCGATTTCAGATCATCAATCTCAACTCGCTTCCGAATCTCAGGTCCTTTTTAATTTTATTTCTAGTGTTAAATTTTCTTTTATATTTTCTACCTGAAATCCCTGGAAAAGTATCAGATTGAAGTCATTATAGTTATTTTATTAAAAAAAAATCAAATTTTAATCTTCTTTTCATGAATTAGTTTTAAGGAAAAACAATTTTCTTATTAATTTGTGGTGTCATTGATTTTTTTTTTCCTGATTCTGATGAAAGGGAAAAAATGCTTTTGTGTTTGAAGAATATTTGGAATTTCTGAGGAATTTAACCTTTGAAATTATAGGGATAATACCTTTGCCATAATTTTGTTACTTCTTTTTGCTATAGAAATTATCCTTCAATGGAAGTCATTGTTAATGCCTGCCCCCAATCTCATCAGAACAAGTAACTATTTCACAAACCAAGCGACCGGTAAATGAATTGTTGTTATTCCCTAGGTTTGAGCACCAGGAATGCTAGGGTTCTAAGCAATTAAATGTTAAATAGTTGAGAGTTATCTTTTAACAGATATTGCCTTGTACTTCCCCGATATTTATAAAAAAAAACTGTCACAGTAAAAGTGCGTGCAAAGTCGATTGAAATCCTGGTGCTTTTAGATCAAGTGATAGAAGATGGGAATTTGATTGGTACAAATGCAAAAATCAAATGTGTAATGAGAAAACTAGATTCTTAGTTTTATATTTGCTTCTCGGAAGGAACAAGGATAATGTTTTCTTCCCCTTCATTTTGTGAATTTCTTATAAACTTCTTTTAGCTTTCGCCTTTATATAGTTCTTCCTAAGAGTTGAGGTTGATCATGAGAAGTCTTGTGTTCTGGTATAAATTTTCTATGGTCACATGTAGAGAGATTGCGACATATTATCACACCCTGTAACATTTGAAGTTTGGCATATTGTCACATTCTTCAATGTTTGAAATTCAAAGTCTTCTTCTTAGTGTCTGCCAATGGTTAAAAAATTAATGATTGAACTCATTGATCTTGCTCCCTAGCTTTGCTTAAGAAATGAACAAAACTAAACTGTCTGAAATGCATAGTACTCTCTTCTAAGATGTTATTAACAATCTTGTTAACTGTTTAAAAATGAGATTGTAATTGCTGGAGACATTTTGGTTACTTCTGCAGTCTTTGAACCTTTTTTTTTCTTCTGTTTTCTAATGACCAAATACAATCAAATAGCTTCAGCAATGATGTCACCCTACTGAACACCAATTTTCTTCAAACTTCTATCTTTGTGCTATCTATTAGACCTCTAATGAAGAAAGTATAAAACCTTTGGTTTTAGATGAGACTTATGCATGTGGTTTTGGAGTTATATCTCATGTGGAATTATAGGAAACAGGAAAATATGAATTTGAAAGAAATGGTTAATGTCACTGAAATGAACCTGTCATTATCTAAAATTTCTATACAAGTAGATTTGACATTTACAAGTAAAACATTGTTTATCATTTGCATTGCATGGTACTAAATTTCCATAGTTTTTCTTTATTTTTGTTCCAGATGAAAGAGCCGATCTTTGGAAAGAAATCTCGCTCAGAGTTTGCACTTCTATGGAACAAAGCTGTGGACCAGATATTTGTGCCAGTAATTGAGTCCATTAGTTCACGTCGATGGTAGAAATTTGAAGTAGTTTAGAGCCAACTATTGATGTGTCTATTACTGCATATCATTGCATACATCCTGGGCCATGCTTTTAAAAGATTGTTTTTATATTCAGTTTCCTTTTTCTTTTCGTTAAGACTTAAATGTCTTAGAAGTATATTGTTTTTTCTAACCTGCATTGGATCATGAATGTTGCCTTTGGAGCCAGGCTTTATTGCCCTTGCTAATTTAGCTCTTTCCCTAGGGTTGGATTATGGAAACTTGAATTTGAGAAATAGGATTTAGGGTTTTAAATCAGTGTTAGCGATACTGGCTATAGGAGTCAGCATCTTCGGGTTTTTAAGATAAAATGAAACTGTACCAGATAGTACGAGATGCCTAACCTGAGATAGCATGAACGGAAAGAATTGTGTATTCATCTTCTTGCAGCAAATTTGAACTGCAAATTTATTCCGACTTCCTCATCTTCATATTTCTGATCTTTTACCTGGTTCTATATGGTTTCATTCTGCTAAAACTACTCGTTCCTCTTGAAACTAATCATTTTGGTTAAAGTGGTCCACTTACCCCAAAATGACCAGAATCATCAAATCTAATCTCTAAGATTGTGTTTGATTCATGCAATGTAATCTTACATTTGAAAATAAGATTCTTGAAATAAAATCAAATATGTGTATGTGATTTCAAAAAAAATTATTACTGATGTTTTTTAGAACCAAATGCAACTTAATGGTTTTGTTTATATCAAACGTCTAAATCTACCCCTAGTGCATTATGGTTTAGTTGACCAGTTCATAAAATTAAAATATTAAACGGTGATGCAAACGTTTGAAAAAGAAAGTAAAGTTGTTAGCATCAACTACTCTCAAGTTGTTGAGCAGTTGTCTCACATGGATACTTTATCAACTCTTTAAGCCATGCAAGTTGGGGTATATAATGAGAGAATTACAGTACCATGTTTTTTTTATTTATCTTTTTACCACTATTGTTAATGATTATGGGCATAATCTCAGTTATCTTTCTTGATTCTCAGGTCTTAAATTTTGTGTCCGCCATTGCCTTGAATGATTGCGATGATCACAAAACCTCAAACAGTGGAGAATACTCTAGCACGCAATTATACAACAAATTGAACCGTAAAATAAGATAATGAAAACCAAGAACAAGAACAAATAAGATGGTTAAAAACATAGAAGAAAAACTTAATTCTGAAAAGCCCTAACCTTAGCCTACATTATACAATGGAAAATACTGAAGATGACATGTTTTAGGCAGATTGAACATAGCCTGCTCTATTAGCATTGGTTTGACGAACATTAAGCACGTAACAAACGCCCATTGCCAAAAGCACCACAAATGCCAAACCAAAAATAAGGCCAGCGATCCCACCGGCTCCGAGTCGATGCCCAGATTCCTTTTTTGCCGATACCTTGCTTTCAAGTGCTTTAGCACTGCCCATTTGAGCTGCAATAGGCAATGGTGAGCAATTGGTAGCTGCGCAAGGATTTTTGGTGTCCGGCACTCGGTTTTTTTTTTTGGTACACTAAAGTTTAGGTCAGGGGTGACTCCCCCAATCCAGGGCCAGGGCATACCTAAGACCCAATTTGGATTTACATAGGACTTTACAGATTCACACCAAGAGTGACGATGGTGGGGCTCAAACCCGGCACTCGGGTTTTGGGATGGAAGAATTCATATGCTGAGGGCGAGAATGCCGTGGGATTCTCGTAGGCAATTCCATGGGGAGCTCTGCCTTCACCATAAGCAATAGTCAAAAGAGCCAACGAAGATAAGAGAAGCAAGAATGTAACAATTGAACTCATTTTTTTAAAAATAAAGTTGAGTTGCCTTTGACGTGCCTTTACAATTAATGGCTTTTATAAAGACATTTTAAAGTGGATGTTGCTTGGCATTTAATATTGGGAAGATAAATGATGGTTCCAAAGGTGCAAAGCCATTCATTCATTAAAAAAGAATTTTTAAGTTAAAAAATTAATTCATCTTCATCAACTAATATCATCATTTTGCTTGTGTTCCATATACTTACTCCTGAAGCCAAGCTTCTGCCTGTCAGGGTTGGCTTCTCAGACACCCTTGATTGAGAACAAAATCAATTATAATAACTCAATCACATTATCCATTATGCACTCAAATGAGAAGAAAATTCATTATGTCGTATAAAAAAAAAACATGCTCGGTTAACAATGTTCTGATGATTTTGTTATCATATTTTGTTTTATCATGAAAAGATGAGTAATGGGAAGCATGGGGGATTTACTTAGCTTGAAAGAACAGCAAAGGGCATTCAAACGCTTATTTTATATATTTAATTAATAATGGCTACCCTGCCTCCACCATTATTGCAAGAGGGGTAAACATGCAAACCCAAAACCTACATTTAGTAATCCATATATTCATATTGTTTTTTTCTTCTTCATAAAAACATTTAGAATAATCCATATTTATATAATTTTTTATGCATTGTATATAAAAATAAATTAATGTTAAGATATTTAATCTAAATTATAAAAGGGGGTTTTTTTAATTTTCTCTGTGCAAAATTTAAAAATTTACAACAATAATATTTTATTAAGATCGTAAAAATAAATAAAAAATTAAATTACATTACATTAAATATTATCTTTTATAAACTTAAATAGTTTCCTTAGTTTTGTCTTCCTCTAACATGGATTACTTTCTAACCTACAAATTTCCAACTAGCCAATAGAATATGTTCCTATACTTGTGATTTTTTTTCAAATTATATCTGTTCAGAATTTTTTAGTCAATTAACAACGTATACATACCCGGAAAACGTAATTATTCAAACTCATTATTAAAAGAACAACCTTTCGTAGCAGTAATATTTAAATCATGTGAGCTTTCATGCAGTATCGATATATCCTGTTTTATTCTCGTTATGATGTGGCCTCTTCAACATATCCGCGAGATTCTTGTTATGGAGTTAATGGGATTTCAAGGCTTCACATGTTTTAAGCAATGCACCCCTAAAGTCACATGATTTATCCATATGTATTGAACATCACCTCTGGAAATATTCAAGGGTATATATTATCGAGGGTAAATTGTTTATTTGATATTTTATTTATTTTAATATTTTTATTTTAGTTATTTAAATTTTATTAATTATATAAAATATTATATTTACTTTTATTTTGATATCATATCAGTGAAAATTAAACGATGATATTAATATAATTATTATTTTGGTAATTTTTATACAAGGGATTTTGAATTTAAATCCCCCCTTTTTTGATAATCTAAGGTAAATATAGAGCAGTATATGTTTAAATATAAATCTCATCTTTTTTTAATACACATGGATATGTATTTATTTAAAAATGATTTCTTAATTCGAATAAAAATATTTAAAAAATAATATATAAATTACTGATGACGATAATAAATAAATACCAAATATATAATTTACCTTCAATCATTATAGTTGGGTTGGATCACCAAGGCTGAGAAACAAAACCCCGCCCTATCTGTTTTGGACCTATAAGGCCTGTGTAAATATATTTATAATTAAAAGTAATATTTCAATTATATCTATTTGAATATTATATGATATATTAAAAATGTTTTTTTATTAATTTAGAGTAAATAAAAGGTAGTACCTATTCAAAGGCTCTCAATCATTTGACATTAAATGCGTGTTCTCTTATATATATGATGTTCAAATTCGGAACTTCAAAAAATAATAACAATTTTAACTATTGAAATAATTTGTTTCATGTTATATTAAAAATGTTGTATAATAATAATTTTAAATTTGATTTAGTACACTCTAAAATTTACTATAATTTATTTGTAAAATATTTTCCAATGTGTAGGTATAAAATATATTTCCTTTATAATCAATTAATTTTTTAATAGAAGCTACTAATCTTATTAAAAGGTGAATATCCAAAATTACAATAACAATTTAAAACTATCACTGTAAATTAAATACATAATTTATACATTTTCCTATAATATTGAAACTAGTCACTTTAGATCATACAAGGACATACATGAGAAATGTTAAAAACTCAATCCAAAGACTCGAACAAAAAATAGATACAAGCAAATATGATTGTATCGCAAACGAACCACAAGAGGAGATTAAGCTATTGAAAAACCATCGAGAATCGTAAATCAGAGCCGAGCGTCCTGAGAAACTATCCACGAATGCAAAATCGCATATTCAACTTTAATTTGAGGGTACACAACATGAAAGATCAACTGAATTACAAATAAACACAATTTTGATAAGTCATGACGTCGTTAAATCTAACTATAAGAAAACATAAAATAAAAAAAAGACCAAACGATCGAAAAAGAAGATGAAAAATATGTCACAAAGACTACAAAAATGTGTCATAAAGAAAAAGATAAACGTGACACAAAGATAAAATTTTTTTTATTAAAAAAAATTAAATAAGAAACAAAAAAAAAATACCAACTATCAACAACTAACATCAAAACTGTCATTGTCGACTAAATAAAATTAATAAAAAATTAATATGATATATAAAATCTAAAGAAAAGAATAAAAAAAGGGAGGGGGAGGGGGGAGCGACTAGATTAAAGTATTTTTTTTTCTTTATAACCAATACAATAAAAACCGTACCCCTCGTTCTAATCATATGCGTTCAATGATTGACGTGACATTTGATTAATTAAAATATGATAAAATATGGTTTGCTTATTAAGTTTTAGGTTTTATGGGAGCTTTGACGAGTGTAGAATACTTGGAGAGGCAATAATTAATGCGAAGTATTTTTGAAAGAATAATTAATTGCAAAGTTAATTATGCTTTCAGCTAAGCTATACTTCTAATCCCAACATATCACCTACTTTGCCCTAGAAAGAAAGTGCCACAAAATAAGGATACGACAACCCATACTAATTCACTAATTAAGTATCATGTTATATGTGGTACATTTCTTAGAAAAAAAGTAAATGAGGCTCCGACCTTCATCCACCTAACACATTTCAATTTTTATTCATTTTCCTATTTTATAATTCTAAATAAAATATATTAAAAGTTCGTTAAATTATATTAAGATAATTATATTGATTATTAAATTTTGAAAAACTATAAAAATGATTAATTATATATTTTATCTTTAGCCATATATTAAATAATACTTCAAGACATAAAGAATCCAATACATCATTTAAATCTCTCATTTCCAATAACAACATCAACAACAAAATTCAACTCATCTACCTCTTTTGTGACATCATCGTGTGAATGAGCTATTAATTATTTGGTGCAAAATATTAATATAGTCAATGTGTGGTTTAATAATTTAAGAGATTGAGGATAAGGATGCTCATAACAAACCTTTATTTTTAATCATTTAAAAGTATGACCCACAGGTAAGAAGAAGACACTCGTAGAAAAGAAGAGGAGAAAATAAATACATTCAAAGCGAAACAAAAATGAAAGAGCAAACAGGAACCAGAAAGACAACCCTGTTCATAAATATACTCCTATTTACACTTCAATGGCTCACTCATGGTTCCCCATTTATTTTTCTTCAACTGAGTTCAATCAAGCATTGCTCCTGAAAGATCCAAAGGCTTTGACGGCTGCTGCTCTGAGGATGTATTGGTGGTAGAATGCAGCAACGGCAGCTCCAATGAATGGTCCAACCCAGAATATCCACTGAATAACAATGAAACATGATCAACAACTATTATAATATTAAATGGAAACTAGATAGAGTAATATATAGGGGAGGAAGCAATTTACTTGGTATCCCAGGCCTTCTCTTTGTTGTAAATGACAGCAGCTCCAAAGCTCCTAGCAGGGTTGATACCAGTTCCGGTGATTGGAATCGTGGCAAGGTGAACCATGAACACAGCAAATCCAATGGGGAGTGGTGCCAACACCTAATTTTAAATTTTATATGCAAACGAAATTCATCACTCGTGATTTTGGAACTTAAGTTGAAATGGTAACAGTAATAGAGTTATGTACATACAGGGACATGGGAATCTCTTGCGTTCCTCTTGGGATCAGTGGCGGCGAAGACGGTGTAGACAAGAAAAAAGGTGCCGATGATCTCTGCACCCAATCCAGTGCCGTTGTTGAACCCAGCTGCGACCTCGTTCGCACCACCTCCGTAGTTGTTGTAGTAAGTCTTCTGGAAAGCTTTGACCAACCCACACCCACAGATGGCACCCAAACACTGAGCCACCATGTACATCAACGCTCGGATGAGGGACACCTTGCGTGCCAAAAACAGCCCAAATGTCACAGCCGGGTTGATATGTCCTCCTGTATATCACAGCTCACACAATTTTTTTCCATCATGTTGCTGTAACTTTTGTTTGGTTACCAAGAGAAAAGAAAGAAAGAAAGAGTTTCTCACCTGAGATTCCAGCAGTGCAGTAAACAAGAATGAAGATCATGCCACCGAAGGCCCAGGGAATACCAAGGATACCGACGCCACCGCAATCAGGGTGCAGGGTCGGTTTGGACCTTGTAGCCAATCACGGTCAACACGGTGACATACAAGAAGAGAAGTGTAGCAATGAACTCGGCAATCACTGCTCTGTAAAACGACCATTTGGTTAGCTCTTCAGGATCAATCAATGGAGCCGGTGGTGGATCATGGTAGTCCTTTGCCCCTCCACGTTGCTCTGCTGCAGTCTCGATATCCTTAGCCATTTTCTTGCTTTCCTAAAAAAAAAAAAAGGAAATGGGTTGGGAGTTTTGGGTTGGTACTTAATTATTAAGCTGTGGATGAAGAAAGCTGAATGGGAGGAGGGTTTATAAGGGAGCGAGATCGAAGGAGAGAGGATA